TGAAATAAATGACAACAATCTAAAAAATATAAACTTATATGAAATGTCTATTAGATTTTATATTATTCAGTAAAGAAATAATTGTAACTATAAAAATTGTTAAACGATGTCCTAGATAACTACTATTATTTTTTCATTTATATAATAGATGTGCCTACTTAGGTCTAAAATAACTTCATAAACATCGACTGCATCTATGTTTTACGATTGTATGAAAATATAATTAAGATACATAGTATGATATCCTCAGTCTATATTAGTTTTACCACTACGTGTTGATACATTTACTTTTTTTTACTTTTTTATTATACACTAAACATTTTTTCCGATGATAGTACCACGAATGTTTCCTACAGCCTTTGCATAGATTAATAATTCAGCATAAGCGATGAATTCATTCTTGGAATTTTCTAAGAAATTGTGTAAAACTAATGATAATACCACAATGAACACAAAACATCCATTTAACCTTAAACCATAATCACATGGGATCTAAAAAAACTTATGAATTATTTAATAACTTTTTATTAAATCTAGAGACCGAAACATTTACCTAAATATATTTTAATGGTTTTGAAAAAAAAATAAGCCATACTTACATTTAAAATAAATAACTTTTTAAATTTTAAAAATTGTATTTTTATATTTAAATTGTATAAAATATTCAAATAAATTTCAACTACAATAAAACAAAATCTTAATAATTATTAAATCTTAGTATGATTTTCCAACAAAAGAAGTTGATCTACCTAAACATTATTCTTATATCATACTTTAGAATTTAAATTACAGCTATATCCAAAAGTTTCAAGAATTTTGATGATATTATGTATTATATTGTTAAATTATATTTATTTTGATAAGAAATACCAATTTTGTTTTAAAACTAAAAATTTTAAATTCAAGATAAAATTAGATAGTAATTTATTTAAGCTACCTACCTACGCATAAGATAGCTCAAAAATCATGTATATAAATTTAATTTTTTGGACTTCAAAAAAATTTGATCAAATCATAGTGTATTATTTTTATAACAGCGATGAAGATACTTTTTAAATTTTTTGTGTATGAGTTAATTTAGGATATAATTTATTTTATATTTAATTTATTAATAGTTCTCATTTTTAGTATTATTAACACTCTTGATATTTTTTTTTCGATAATGATATTTATTGATTTCAAAAATATAAAATATGAAATGGACTTGCGCAAGATGCTCATGTTTTCAGTGTATAAGGAAATGTTTATTGAAAAATATCTCTCAAGGAAAAGCTTTTTGGGCAATTAATAATTTTAAATTTTAAGCCATGGTATAGCTTAACTAATATATATTTTTATAGTGTAACAGCAGATCTTACATAAATAATCGTTTAAGACTTTGTTTAAAACAAAAAACACATTATGTACATTTAAAGCTAAAAACAATTATTATAGTTAATTAAAAAATATATTATTTGAGTAATTTTAAATCAATTAGGTTGAAAAATTTAATGAAAATGGTAATAACTAATAACTATAATAATATTTAAAACAGAAATACGATAATCATAGAGCACGTCTTGATTTAGTTTGGAGGATTTCAGTGGACATCAAGATAAATTTAGGATCGGTGTATATTACGTATAAATATCTTTCATGTTTATTACCTAAATTATTTACAATTCACATAAAATTTACAAAACAAACATAATAAATAATAAATGAATAAAAAGCGTATTAAGAAAAGTTTTTCCTTTGACAAGTTTCATTTAAGTTACGAAAGAAGCCATTAATGACGTGTAAATTAGTAATTCTAGTATGCGATCACGCCAGAATTTACAAAAATTTCTGTTCTTAGTTTGTAGATTTGATTGAGATTATAAAAAATTATGTGATTTCTCACGGATACATTTGATTTCTACATACATTATTTTTAATTTTTAGAAATGTGCCTAATGCCTATATAATATTATTTTTTTAGGTAGGGTTAGCCAATAATTAAAGTTTCCCCATGATAATGACGATTTTTTTTAAATTTTGAATTTTATTTATGTTCAATAATTTTTTTTTTTTTTTGTTCATTTCAACTAAAGAGCATGCTCGTAGATTCTTATTATTTTTAAAAGTATTTTGAACATAAAAAATGTGATAGGAATGTGTTAATTATTACAAGTTTACTCTGCGCAGATAGTTGTTCAAAAAAAAAAATTGTTAATATTTAATTTTTCAAGCTCAAGTTAAATTTTGATATAAAATTATACAAAAATATTTGACTATAGATTGAGAGAGAAAGTTATGTAATTGGATTTATTTATTATTTTATTTTAGCTAAAATTTTGTTTATCAGTTTTTTATACATCAATGGTGATTTTATACACTAATCGTGATAATGTAATGATCAGCATCAATTAATAATAACGCTTCTTTGTCGTTATAGTCAATCATTGATGTATTCGAATTGATAAGTTTGTCAATGGTCATAAATAAAAATATAATGAGTTTATTTAGTATTCAATTAAATTGTTTGATTTAATAAAAATTTATGGAATTTAATGCGATTTGTGGAATAATAAAAAAGTTTAGAGGAGTTTTAATAGAATAAATAAGGCGAGTAGTTAATGACTATTAGAACAGAGGAGTGATCGAAATTTATATCAAAAAGATAACCAGAAGTATCTAAACAATATAAACAATTAAAATAAATCTGAATTTTATAGTTAAAAGTTGATCAATATGTTAGTCCAAGTGTGGAAAAAATTTTCAAATATTTTGCTACTAAAAAAATATTCAAAACAACACTACATGGAGTATTTGTATGGTATTTTTATGACTAATGTTTGGCGTTATAATCACTGACTATAACTAAATTATTTTTTATTGTGTTCAAGTAAGTATTCGCAGAATTTTTGTAATGTTGCGTTTAGGTATACAGTACATCAAAACTAAACTGAAAGTTATATTATTCAAATTTATTATTATCACACAAAATTAAAAGTTATCTCGGCAAAAGTTTAAACTAGGTTAAAATATATGTAAAAATAGTAAAAATCAATATTTTATAAAAATAGTTAGATACACCTCCATGCACAATAATATTAGAATGATTTGTTTTAATTATTTTATTTTCTTAAGTTATAAAATCAAAATAAAATATGGTGAAACTTTATTTGGTAAGTAAATAAATTTATTTTATAAATATTATAGTTTTTATGTTACAATCTGTCCATATTATCTATTGCTCATTTCTGTTAACATATTAATTGTATATAGTACTCAACACATAAGCTTACATTATTAATATAGTATAAAATAATAATAAATGTATAGAAATAAAATTATAATATTAAATACTAATTTGAATAATAAAAAATAAATAATAAATAATATTTTAAAATTAAATAGCACAAAGTTAATAGACTGTACTACGTTCAATTTGATCGATAAAGTTTGTACCTATCCGACAAAAGTTGTATTAATAAAAGGTATTCGACTCCGGTTGTGTTTTCTATCAAAATAGATCTATATTTTGCCAATATTGCATTAAATTCATCAGTAATCGGGCAAAATTTCTGAATACATATTTGAATCCATCATGAAGTTTATTTAAAAACAGAATTTTAGTTTTTTGAAATCGAACTCTAGAATGTTTATTATATTTAATAGACACCATTTCAAGATAAATTATGTGATTTTTTTAAGGTATTGGCGTTAGGTATATACTATATTGTAAGACATGGAAAAACTTATTTATAGCCAATTTACTCATTTTCCATATTATCTAATTAATTAACATTAAAGCAAACAATACGATCAAAAGATTGATTAGACATTTATGTTAAAATATAATAAACAACATATATTATTACCCATTATGAAGGTCTTCAAACTGCACCGTTATACGTATATAAATAGCTATCAAACGCTTTGTAAATAAAATGGTACGTTGATACATGATAATATACTATACACATGCAAGTATATTATATGTAGATTATTATAAGTACCTGCCCAAAATCTATTTCCACATAAACAAAGTTTACTTTTAAGGCAATAACCAAAACACTTCGACTTTTTCGCATGCGCGTTTACAGGATGGAAAACCAAAATAAAAAAAAATCTAAGGCATTTCAAAGCAATAGCAACTGTATAAATATTTATTTGCGTATATATTATGTAAATATATATAGATACCACCGATGCAAATTATTCGGAACAAAAAATATACACACCGACCGTACCGCTGAAAATATAAATACGAGGTTCATTGGTAAATCCGTTCATTTGTATTAGGGGGAGTGTTTTTTCTTCCTTTTGTATATTCATGAGTTCTATTATTAAGAGCCAGCAAACTTTAGAAGCAAACACTAGTCGTTGAGTTAAATCTAATAACGCGGTTTAATGATTATTTTTTTCTAATTTGACACGTTCCTCCTTTTTACGATATACAGCACAGCCAAACAATTATTATTAGCTCAAAACCAATTTTGTAAACATTTAAACACTGAAACGATAGTATTTATAATAGACAATTACACAAAGCTTAAAATATATGATTTAGTGGGATAACGCGGATTATAAAATGAATGTATAATATGACAATGGTTGTTATAAGTATCATCATTAAACATCTCAAAAAATTCAAGGAATTATTAAATTCTCTTTTTTTAATTTTAAATATATAATGTGCTATACATAAGCCTCATATGTATATCATAATTCGTAGTATGTGCCTACATAACATTTAATGTAGAGAACGCTTATAAAGAACAATAAATATTAAACATAATAAATGTATATAAATATAATACAGGATGATATATCAATCATATTCACTTCAATTTTAAACTTTTAATAATAAATTCATTTAAATTCTAATCTTTTGAATTCTAAAATAAAACCTAAAGACTATATTTTCAATTACTTAAATATTTCGATTTTGTATACCATTTAAAAAGTTTCTTATTGTTAAAACCTTTTGTTTAGTAATTATTTTGAAAACGTTTGACACTATAATGTTTCAGACTTTCTGAAGTATACAGACTGTTACCGGGTGATTAACTCAGACTGGGACTTATGCACTGAAAAATTCATGTCATTGGTACGCGAAGAGATGAAAGGCAACCAGTCAGAAGATGCTAAGGTGCTGAATATGTGTTGGTAAGGCATACTTGATTAAAATGTGCTTATTTTATACTATACCCATCGCATATCACATTCAGTAATCCAAAAATGCTTTTAATACAGTTTTACTTTTTTTTTAATTATAAATCTCATCTACCTAATAATATTAAATATTAACCTAATTGAAAACCATATTTAGATAGATCCTGTTTAGTACAAAAAAAAAAAACATAGCTGTGAGATTTATATATTATTTAAGGAAAGCAAAATTTAACCATTTTAACTGTTTATATTTCATTGTATAGTACATAGTCCATTAACTAATGAACCACTAAACTAACCACTTCAACTATAAGAAATATGTAGTATTCTATACAGAAAGTCTAAGTTTCAAAAAATCATAACTCTCGCAGATTTATTTTGTAGTGAAATCTATCAGTTTTCAAATAAACCAGACAAATTTCTACTTTTTTCACCTCTACCAACAGCTCTTGAAAAAGTAAGAGAGAGATCAAAAGAACTACCTATTGGATAAGTTCTTCTGACATGTTAATCAATGTTTTTAACGAGTTTTGTTATCGTTGCGATATAATATTAAACAATATTATGAAAAAAAAAATGATAACCTATAGTTTTTATTTGTGTTTTAATGTTGAAACTATTAAAAGTATAATATTTTATTTTTAACACGTCAAGTGCCACGAGGGTAATTTTTATTTCTCAATCATATTTCTTAGTGGGCTGTGGAGAAGAAAGTTATTTTATTTTTTTATGAAGTCATATTTTTTTCATTTTTTTTATTTCTTTGAAACTTTGAAATGTATACAGCTTAGTTGATTTTATAATAAAAAGTTAATTATTAATATTCAACTAATCCCTCATTAGCTAGAAAATATATGAATTACATATTTTTATTTTAAAATAGACTTTAGATTCTTCACATTCTACGAGAAAAATTATGCATGTATTTAATATAAGTAAAGTTGATAATTAAAATTTCTCAGCGCAAATGGATAGTTTATTAATATAATATCCGTGGCAGTCCATATTTTTCACATCTTTTGAAATCCGGATATTCTATATCAACATACCTGTATTTCACGTAATATACGTTTGAAGAAATTATATCAATAATGAAAACTAATGTGATGTCATAAAGCTAAATGAGGTGACATTTATGTGTATAAATATAATAAATAACAGCTGTGGCAGTCGTAGTTTTTAAATGGGTCTGTGTTAAATTATTCCATACCACCACAATCCTCTCACCACTTTTTTGTACGACAGACTCTCGATTCGCATACGAATTTTTACAAAAGTCGCACAAAGGTGGTCGTAGATCGGTGGCGCCATTTACTCAATAATCATGCTGATTCACGTTACAACCATATAACTATAATCTATAAATTAATAAAAATAAATTTGTACGTATGTGATCTACAGTCAAGTGTATCAAACTCGTTCTAAAATTTGGTACATAGGTAATCTTGAAGCAAAACTTTTTAACTTTACATTTTAAAGAGGTTTTGCACAAAGATTTGTTAGTTTACAAAAAAACAAATATTTTTTGTGGTATATATAGTTACTATTAGTAACAGGAAATTAAATAGAAAATTATTGTAGTTGGATGTAAAATTAAACCTGTATTTTACGTTTAAAAAACACATCTTTTATACCTAATACTTAAGGTCAATTTTTTTTATACAGAACAGCTTATAAATTAATCGATTGGCTTAAACTTTAAATGAAAAAAAAAAAATTAAAACCCATCTAATTTTCCATCTTTGGATATCTGGTGTTGTCATTTTTTTTTTTTTTATTTATTTATTTTATCTAATTAGACACAACCAAGATATTAAATTATGTTTGATCAACTACAAGCAAACAAATACTTTGATATTTTAATTCATTGAAAACGTGTGAATTTTCGGATAAAACACAATTGCGTACGTTTTTCCTTTTTGGCAACACGACTGCGTATGTTTGTAGATGGATAAATTTATTGATTTTATGATATACCTAATAAATATCTAGTAAAATATGTACACTTCTATAACAATCAATATAAAACAATAAAATATAATACTTAATGAGAATAATTAAATAGTAGTAAAATTATTAATAAATAAATAAAATTATCAATAAATTATTAATATTATTAATAACGCTTATTAATTCGTACATGATCCGATAGTTAAAAATTAGTTAAAATCGTACGCAATCGTGTATAGTGTATAGCTTAAAAGGTATCACCCATTATGTTTTACACAAATTTTCGACGATTTCCAAAGAATATAAAAACTTGTGAGTGAGTTCTTTGAATCCCCCCCCTCCTATATGATAATCCCCTGATTTTTGATGGAAATCATAATATCATAAAAAATGACTATATTAAGCACCCAGGTATAAACCAGTACTATATTTTATGTCACATAAATACCATTTAATAACAGTATATATGCTTATTATAATATATTAAATTGTCATCGCATGGTAATATTGTTATTATACGACGGAAGCAGCAGATGTCGCATAACAACGACTAATCTTCCACGCCCTTCCGGTCGTGGACCACGAGCTACACATAAATATATAAACATGTATATATATATATATAAACATATATATATATATATATATAGCTTATACATTTATACATACTATATATAGTATAAATGTACACCTAGCACGCGTAATAATTGTATCCTTATCCCCTTTACACTACACGCTGCACCACTCATCATAACTACTCGTCGCGACTGTGGTATGATAACAATAATAATAATGGTATAAATTAAATTGATATTTACTAGAAATAATCTAATATATTGTGTGTTATTGCTGTTTTGTCGTTCGATAATAACATGAACGCACCCATATACCACGTAACACTATTTTATACATAATATATTTATACATAATATATTTATATATATATTTATGACATACGTGACATATTATGGATGCATGAATGTGTTTGGCGTATTTGTACCGGGACGGAACAAGATTGATCATCTGGATTACCCATCTATGATAATACGCACTCATAATATTACTGGACATTTATTTTAACGTCAATCGTCAATCGATATCTCTGAGCGTGTTTGAATGATTTACATGTATTGCATAGATATCATTTATCCACATCCACAGTAATGATATCCTTATACATAATTGTAGTGAGCAAACTTAAATATCATCTTTAACATAACTAAACCTCACATGTGCTAAAACCAAATATTTTAAGACACATGAAAAACAAAATTTGTAATGATCAAAAAAAAACATTTTTTTTAAATCTTAAAGCTATATTTAATCTTATTCTGAAAAAAAATTTGAGTGAAAATTCAGTATTTGAGAAAATATTGTTTAAATTGTCAAAGTTTTTCCACGATGGAAGTTTTATGTATTTATATTATATGTTCGGTAAAGTGATAACAGTATTCAAGCACTCGAGTGTCAGTGTTTCACCACTCACCGTGGATTTTTTTTTTTAATATTTCATAATACTAAATCTGTTATGCCAAACACGCATGTTATTGTACGCTTTGAATACGTACAGGTATATCGCATAAATCATTCTTTCGCAAAATAATTTATACTTAATGATGACAATATAATGCATTTATATTTATATTTAAAACACTATATATTATTACATAATATTGGCTCCCATTTATATGAATTCTATATTTTATGTTGTAAAAATGACAAACACTTTATTAATATAATACTATTAATACTTGGCCAAGCTTATAATATAATAATAGCAGTAAAATAATCGATTTAAATATTATTTAAAAACTCGATAATATTTTAATAATACTAATCTGTTTTACCTTCTCACACCGTCTTTTACTCTTTCATAATAATATTTATATGAATGCATATTATACGCCATCAGTTACATTGATTAATGATTTCCTAATGGTACACAACATAGTGTTTTATTTTAATGAATTAACATTTATACGTATTGAATAAATAACATTAATTTTAGTATGTACATTTTTAGAACGATATATTAAACCAACTCGGTTAAAAAATATAATTTTTAATAGTAAAGACACTAGTGGACACTACCCAGAACGTCTCTGGTAAATATCATATAGAACCAAGCTTTGGCGTCTGGTACAATCATTACATTTTAAGGCCAAACAGGCGATGCATTATTATTTATTATCAACAAATCGCTGAAAGAAAATGAACGAATATTATTTCTATTTTTTTTTTTTTTTTGTAAATACGTCTCGGGACCAGAATATTATTACGTTATTGCATGACGTTTCTTAAATCTAAGTCTTTTGTTTACAGATGAGATAAAAATATATTATAAATACATTATTGAACTTAGCTACGCGCAGATTTACAATGTAAAATAGCAAAATAGCATAGTTTAGATCGTTCAATTAGTATTAATTTTGGCATATGTTCTTAATCCTTATTTTTGTGTACAGAAATTCAGTAATATAACCGATAGTATCAATAGATAGAAGATAGAATAATTAGAATAGTATTCAGTGATGGTTTTTTTCTCATTTAAGAAGAAAGAACTAAGTACAGATCATAAATATAAATATATAATCGAAGAATAGTCAATTGCCATGAGTAATTAAAAAATATTTATTTAAATTATTTATTTTTAAAAACATGTAAAATAAAATAAGTTTTCAAAATTATAAAAATGATGCTTATTATTTAAAAAAATACTTATATCATTTTGTAGATAATTTCAAATATTTATTGAAAATGGTTATCACTCAATAAAATTGGAACCACTTTAAATAATAATAATAATTATTATTATTATTATTTATTGACATGTGATCATTCTCGTATAATGTTTCAAAACGTATTCAAGAATAGCCTGTTATTTGTCAAATTCAGCAGTTAATCAGGTCAATCGATTCTATCGTATATCCCGATATAGCTGTATTCACTGTGTGTATAAAATAATAACTTCACACGCATTATGTAAGTATTTTGATGATAAAATCACAATTTATCCGTATATAAAATTCTGTGTGAAACGTTAT